ACCCTTAGTAAAAAGTTCTGGTTAAGGAACAGTTATGTCACGTGGTTTGCACTCACCCTTTATAAAGTGAGTGCAAAAGAGGAATTTTTGGTTGGATCCTTCAGGCAGCTTTGAGCCAAGATTGAGATGGACAAAGAACTCTGCAGCTGAAGAAGAGCCGGAGCCACAGAGCCGAAGACTGTTCTGCACATGGGGACCAACCCGTTAGCCCCGCAACATGTGGCTTCAAATTGCATTTCTCTCATCAGCTGGGTTTGGGACCCCAAAGATAAAGACAAAGACCAAGGCAAAGATAAAGATAAAGACAAAGACAAAGGCAAAGAGGAAGAACTGGTGTGTTCCTTCCATGAGACCAGCTCTTCTGCATCTTGAAGGACCAGAAAGATCGTGAGACGAAGAGAAAGGAGCTACAGAGCTGCAAGACAAGAAGGAGAGGACCGCTACGCGCATGAGGAAGTCACCCTGAGGCCCGAGACCTGCCGCTCTAAGTCAGTACTCTTCCTGTACTGAGAGCCTTCTGCTGCTGCAACAACTTTTTCATCATCAGGCCAGTTCTGGGGTTCAAAATGCCAAACACCGTCCGTCTCTTTCAAAGTTTTCCTTTTTTAGTTCACAGTGTCAGCATTAGGTAAAGATAGGCTAGATTATTTATTTTACTTATTTGATTATTTCTGCTACTGATTTAAGCTGTACTGACTCTTGCAAAAGTGCCTTACTAATAAAATAATTAGCATTAAGAAAATCTAAAAGATGTTGTGGACATTCAATTAATGAGTCACCTGAAAGTTCTTTGATGCTTGTAAAATAGCTATGAAGTTTGATTCTGGGAGGAAAAAGTGGAAAATGTTTTATAGGTTGCTTTTAGCCCAAACAACACCCTTGGGACTCGCCCGAGTCACTAAAACCAACCTGGTTCAATAACAAGTGCAAGTTGTAATAAGAGAAAGAGCGACCGTTAACAGGTGTGCTCTGTGAAACTAGCTGATTGCAGGCTGCTCAATCTGGCTAATTCACAGGGTGAGAAAGGGTGGGACATCTGGATGGAGGTCGTCAGAAACCAGGCTAGTCTTTCTCGCACCCAGCTTAAACAGAGTTTACTTCAGTTCTGGACAGGGTCAATCTCAGCAGATTTAGGAAACTCAATTCACCCGTTAGATGGAGAGCTGGTAGCACATCTCCCTCCTCTGAGAAGGGGAAGTAGAGAGTGACTCAGAGATACAATTTTACTATTTATAGAGTCCTTTAGCCAACACGTATAACTATGCATCAGATTGTGCAACATAGCATGACAGGTTAGTAATCCAACAAGCAATAAGCATTACATTTTGTCAAATGACATCGTCAAAGTCAACAAGGAATTACACATCAAGTATTTTGATCAATGCTCCACTTATTACTAATCAAAGGCTACTTGATTTGTTGTCTAGGCAAGTAATCATGATATAGAATTGATGTGCGAGACAAGATTTGATCCACAATCTTTTATGGATCAGATCCATAAAAGCATAATTTGCATGTAACGTATGTAGCTCTGTTTCACTGTGCTTAATATTAACACTAAGATAAAAACAGGATGTTTTCAGTTTTCAACATAACTGCAATTTCTGTTTTCTATTTGGATTCAACCGGGAATAAAACCTGGAGCATTTCAACCTGAACTTGGCAACCTTTTTAAATTCACTCAGTGGTAAAAACATAATGATGGGCTGGCAGAGAGTGTTTAATTCAAAGTGCTTCCTTCTTCTCTGTCACTCTGGTTTACAAACGATGGGTGGAACCAGAGACACTCCCTTCAGTAACCGGATATGTAGACCTGATCCAGTTTCTGTTGTTGGGAATGAAAACTGAAACAGTCATTGTTACTGAGAGCTGAAATGAATTAGAGAAGAGTTCAGATGGATAAAATATCTTGTTCCATTTGTTTGGATTTACTGAAGGATCCAGTGACTATTCCCTGTGGACACAGCTACTGTATGAGCTGTATTCATCACCACTGGGATGGAGAAGATCAAAAAAGTATCTACAGCTGTCCACAGTGCCAAAAAGAGTTCACACACAGGCCTGTACTGAAGAAGAACATCACTTTAGATGCTTTGGTGGAGGATCTGAAGAAGACTGAACTACAAGCTGCTGCAGCTGACCACTGCTATGCTGGACCTGAAGATGTGGCCTGTGATGTCTGCAGCGGAAGGAAGAGGAAAGCTGTCAAGTCCTGTTTATCATGTCCAGCTTCTTACTGTGAGGATCACCTACAACATCACTATGATGCTCTACCATTAAAAAAACACAAGCTGGAGAATCCCTCCAAGACTCTCCAGGACAACTTCTGCTCTCGTCATGATGAGGTGATGAAGATCTTCTGTCGTACTGATCAGCAGTGTATCTGTTATCTCTGCTCTATGGAGGAACATAAAGGCCATGAAACAGTCCCTGTTGCAACAGGTGTGACTGAGAAGCAGAAGGAGCTCCAGGAGAGTCGACAACAAATCCAGCAGAGAATCCAGGACCAAGAGAAAGATGTGAAGCTTCTTAAAAAAGAGTTGAAGGCCATCAGTGTCTCTGCTGATAAAGCAGTGGAGGACAGTGAGAAGATCTTAACTGAGCTGATCCGTCTCCTCCAGAAAAGAAGCTCTGAGGTGAAGCAGCAGATCAGATCCCAGCAGGAAACTGAAGTGAGTCGAGTCAAAGATGTTCAGGAGAAGCTGGAGCAGGAGATCACTGAGCTGAAGAGGAAAGACGCTGAGCTGGAGCAGCTCTCACACACAGAGGATCACAACCAGTTTCTCCTCAACTACCCCTCACTGCCAGCACTCAGTGAGTCGACACACTCATCCAGCATCAACATCCGTCCTCTGAGACACTTTGAGGACGTGACAGCAGCTGTGTCAGAGCTCAGAGACAAACTACAGGACGTCCTGAGGGACACATGGACAGACATTGAACAGGCAATAACTGAAGTGGATGTTCTACTGTCAGAACCAGAACCAACTGCCATGAAAATCGCTGGTCAAAGGACTGCACATGCCCCTGATCACTTCAGTTGGACACGCAGGCCATTCATCGCCCCGCACCGCTCCATAGCCACTCCCCACCTCCACCCCCTATCCTCTCCTTTCTCCACAACCGACCCCATACCGCAACCCTCCATGAGCATCACACTCTTCCCCCCACCTCCACCTCCATTCTATGTAAGGAGGAGATCAAGAGGATGAGCGGGGAGACGGCTATGAAAACAAACTGGCCTAGAAATCTTGGTTCTGGTACTGGCACCAGGACAATGACCAAACAAAAGTTCCTTGGAGTTGGGCCGTGCAGAGATCTTTGGAGGGGCAGGGGCTCAACATTAAAAAGAGGCACATTTAACAAGATCTTAAAATAACATAACAACATAGCAACCACCCATATTAATCAAGAATCTAATATTTAATTGGGTCATACTATATCACTGTCGTGGGGATAATGCAAAGCAAATATAGTCTATGTTTTCCTAATAGGAATAATGTTCTTTCTGCTGCTGAAAGAGCTGGAGGGCTGAGTTTATCTGAGACTGTAGTTGTTAAATAGACCATAGGAGAGAAGGTTGCTGGTTATGAAGTTATGAAATAAGCAAATTTCCTGCTATTTCACTAAATAAACCCTGATAATATCTGACTGTTTAACCTCCATTGCAACTTGGCTGCAGACTGCTCTAAACATCGAAAAATCTCAGAGGTTAACTCTGCATAATTTTTTTTATGTAAGCACCTCTGAGAGATCTAGAATTTTAAGACAAAGACATATCAAGGCAAAGAAAACTCAGTAGCCGCTGGTAGGGCCCGTCTAGACATTCAGGGCCCCTATAAATACTTGAATTGTAACACAGACCACAAACCTAAACCTGTAGCATTCCATTTTTGACAATGACAATGATTTTACTTTAATGTGTTCAGTAGAGATAAAATGGGGTTAGTGCAACAGAGGAGGTTTTGGTTGCCTGGGCTTTATGGGGTGGATTTTTTCCGATCTGTCAGCAGAACCACCTGGTAGTAACATTAGGTTAAGGTGAAGTGGAGAGCGAACAGTGAACAGGTGGTACCAGAGATTTGAGCTGTGTCATGGTGACAGTCATGGTACCGTTTCTTTATATCAGGATATCTAGTTCTGACCCACTACGGTGGGACCGACTCAGGCTGCCTGTAGCGAACCGAGCATTTAGTCCAGCACCGGAGCAGAATGATAAAATTAAAGTTAGAAGTTTTCTCTGCAGCCGAACCATTTCTGTGTTTGGGGGTGAGGAAGGTTTTTCCTGCTATTACGACAAAGAAACGTTCTCCGCCCTCCTCATCCTTACTTAGAGCTCTGTGTCTTAACCACATGGAGGCAGAGGCACTAATAAAAGATGAAAAAAGTGACTTACAAGCAGGAAGTGAAGATACTTGTCTAGAGGGGCAAAATATTTAAAAGTTTATGAACCACTACAGGAAAAGTTTAATCTCTTTTAAATAGATTTTTAGTTTTTGGGACACTGAAAGCAGTTTTTTTCTGGGCTGATTTAACAACCTGAAAGATGATGCTGGAGTAAATCAGAGTGGCATGGAGGAGCAAGATCATTCAGAAAAACTGATGTTCTGGGATTTTTAGTTCTTTGGAGCCACCTACTGGTAGTTTGGTGCAGCTGCATGCAAGTCCTTCAGCCACATACTCAGAAAAAATGGAAGCTGGTGGAGACTCATGCATGCAGATATCACAGGAAATGACATCACTGAACTAATGAGCCCTTAAACCGATGATGGGACCCAGCATCTCCAAGAGACTGTGGTAATTTGGACTAAAGAAACATGTCAAGGAATTTCATAATACTTTAAGAGTGAATACCTCAATAGTTTCAGGTTTTTGGTTTAATTTGTGATTTTTCTATACATGATAAAATCATTTGATGTCAGTTTAGTTTTAATCAGGTGAATGTTATGAATGTATTTCTGTTGAGGAGGCTT